TTTTCTCTGTGAAGTAATCCACAAAATTTTCCTTACGGCCCCCCAAAAAAAAGATTACTTCTCAATATTTACTGTATTTCAGTTTCTTGTCTTTATAATAAATTTAGTTTCGTGCGCTCCTGGTGAACTAGCGGTAAGTTTATGGAGTTACAGCTCTAAAAATCAGAGGTTCGATTCCCCAAGGTGGACAGAGTGCAGATATTCCATTATAGCTTTGCAGTAAGAAAACAACAATAGCATCATATATAGCTATACAGAGAGGTAAATAATTACCTTTGTTTTTCACTCACTATCTGATACCCATGCACGAAGTCATGTTTGGGTTTACAACAATAATATCAAAAAACTAGAACGAGGGTGTACTCATCGATTTTTCTACTTGTTATAATATATTTCGTTCAAATACCTATAGTGACACATATTTGGTTATTTTTGTTTGTTTGTAATTAAATACAAAGCTACACAACTGGCTATCTGTGCTCTGCTCACCACGGGGATCGAAACCCAGTTTCTAGCGTAGTAAGTCCACAGACATTCCGCTGTGCTACTGAAACCCAAATACTGTGATTTATGCTGGCTTTTGACGCTCGAATAAAGTGCTAAAACACAGTGTTATTTTGAAATTGGTGTAGTGTAGTTTAACTTAAATAAATTTAAGTCATATTATTCAGGTTCTATTTTATGATGGACTTTATTTTACACCCTAAAGGAGCTTTCAGTTTCCTCAACGTGAGCTTCATTTTGGAACGCCAGAATGGCTACCATTTGATTCAGACGTATCTTCCTACATTCTTGATTGTAATGATCTCCTGGGTGTCCTTCTGGCTGAACGTAGACGCCGTTCCTGCCAGAGTGACCCTAGGAGTGACCACTCTACTTACATTGACCACCGTGGCTGCAGGAGTGCGAACGCAATTGCCTCCTGTATCATATATCAAGGCCATTGATATTTGGATTGGCTCATGCTCAGTGATGGTTTTTGGAGCCTTGTTGGAATTCACTCTTGTCAACTACCTTTCTCGCAGTGAGAAAACAACCGAAAGCTTAAAGAAACCAGTAAGCATATTTAAAGTAAGTTAAATATATTCTTGTGAAAGTGCCAGAGTACACTGTTTCTCAAATGTTAAGATCAATTCAAATTGGTTAATGGATTAACAACGAAAACAAATCTTTGTTGAAATCAATTTAGGATAAAAAAAATGTGATATATATTTTGCAAGTAAGTAAAATATAACTCGTAAACTATAAAAAAAGAAGTGAAATATATATTGGCTCCTTAAGGAAAAATCATAACTCATCAGTATTTGCACTCAGAATTATTCTTTAATATTAATTGTACTCTTTCCCGACCTGTTATGCCTTCTAATTTCGGAGTGTCTGCAGCAATACTATGGTTCAGATATAACAGATATTATACTTTTCAAAAAGCTTTTATTTACCTAATACTGACACAGATTTATATATACAGTATTGAACAAAGAGGTCACATGACCGGATACAATAATGTTTACATTATTCTATCTAGCTTGTTTCTATAGCTTACGTATGAGTTTTTTATACTTATTTCTTTACATTCACAGTGCTTTGTGTTTTGAAAATCTAAGGAGGGATATTATACAATGTGCTAAAAATAAGGATCAGAAATTTATTGCTTGAACAACAAACGAAATGTTAATATGATGTGTTTAAAATGAGGAACCCATGAAACATTACACGAAATATCTGTAAGTACAAGTAATTAAAAGTATCTGAAATAACAACAAACGAAATGTTAATATGATGTGTTTAAAATGAGGAACCCATGAAACATTACACGAAATATCTGTAGGTACAAGTAATTAAAAGTATCTGAAATAACAACAAACGAAATGTTAATATGATGTGTTTAAAATGAGGAACCCATGAAACATTACACGAAATATCTGTAGGTACAAGTAATTAAAAGCTTAAAATGTGTCTAAAACAAAGAACCCATGGAACGTATCACATTGAGTGTCTAAAATGAAAGAGGTGTTATAAATTTAACATGACGTGTGTAAAATAACGATCCAATGAAACGTATTGCATAAAGTGCCTAAAACAGGACACAATAAAACGTATTAAGTGGAATTTCCAAAACAGGGGCCCAATGAAATGTATTACATAAAGTGTCCGAAATAACAACCAAAGAAAAGCATAACATGGTGTGTCTAAAGCAAGGAATCAATGAAGTATACTAGATTGTTTGTATGAAATATAACCAGATAATCATAATGTATGGTATATGCAAAATAAGAACTAAGGAAATCGTAGCATTTCCATCTTACATTAACACTGAAACTTGACTGAGAGGTTTTTAACTCGTATATTTCAGCGTCAGAAGACAAGTCTAGTTAACCCTAAACTGTCACAAGAGGAGGAGACTAGAGAAAACACATCAACCATGAAGGAGGCTATCATGGTCGATCGAGTGTGTAGAATTTTGTTTCCTTCGGCGTTTTTTGTATTTAATTTAGTATACTGGTTTTATTATCTTTATACTCCAGAGTTGTAATTCAGGTTTATCGATCCACTGATCAAATTTTTTGACGAATATATTTACGTAAAATAATAAGTAATTTATGAATAAAAGACGTTTATAGACAAATCTCATTAAAAACATACACAAAGTTTATAATATTTATATCAACTCTCTCTTAATCTCAAGTCTATACTTAATGACATAAACGGAGGCAGAATATGTAAAATAGAACATTGCAAAATGTTTCCCTTAATGTTTTGTCTACCAGAAGATGAATAGCTTCGACAGGTGGCAGAGTAGTCGACTTTATTTAAGATCTTACTACTTCTATTTCATTTCTCCATCTTTTACATTTATTACTCTAAAGTGTTCGTGTTTATTAATCAATTCCGTTTTATAAAATTAAAGCGTGTTCTAACACAAGTCGTGTTTCACCTACTGTTAAAGCTTTGCCTTAACATTTTCCAAATCGTTAGTATGCTTTTAATAGTTCAGATACCATCACTTTCTACTGAACTGAACTCAGTATAACGTTTATAGATGTAAACACAAGCTATGTAAAATTGAATTAATCTTTGTATTTCACCTTTTTAGCTATTCTCGATTTTAATGGCATTTTTTGTTTATAAAATGTTTATGAAAGAAAACTTATGTAAATGAACTGAGTCACAATAAAAATCTGTGCACTGTATCATATAATATTTCATTAGAGAATTCTATTGTTAGTGAGAGATTACACAAATTATATTGGAAAAATTATTGTTTGTCTTCTTTTCTGTTAACGTTTTTTTCTAGATATATTAATACTATAAAACTATTTTCCTACTAAGTTTGTGTATTTAATCACATTCAGTAGCTTTTGCTGTACTAACTTTAAGTTCTTATTTTGTTCTTATGTGAGTAGTATTTACGTTTTATCGCTGATACCATGGTATCCGTTTTTTATAACTAATGCATTTATAACATAGCGTTTTAAAACGTTAAGACTATAATACTGACAATTATGTGAACATACTTTTAAAACCCGCCATTCTTTTTTTATTGATACAATCAACTCAATGTGGACATACTTTTAAAACCCGCCATTCTTTTTTTTCTAAAATATATGTTTAAGAAAGAACACAGTATGCCTCTGTTCTGACACGTGGTGTTAGTAATTCGAAAACAAGAAGAGGAATATAGATGACATTGATTCAGCTGTATAGTCAATGCAGATAGATAATTTTCTACTTATACATTGATTCACAGAAACAAAGGAACGTTATTTGTCATTGAAACTTGAAATATCGATTTAATGTTGCTAATAGGTTTACCGATGCTGTTCCTAAAGTTTGGTCTTTGTGACATAAAACTATATGCCAAACTATACTTTAACCAAATAGCAAATAGTACAATAGTTCAGTTAAATCATCCTTTGAGATGGCAACAGTAAAGGTTTTAACATTTCAAGATAATGATATTCAAACATTCTAAAGTAAAACAATAAATATAGAAATATATAAATCTTAACCAATTTCTTTCTCATTTATTGGGCCCGGCATGGCCATGTGGTTAGGGCGCTCGACTCGCAATCTGCGGGTGGCGGGTTTGAATCCCCCGTCGCACCAAATATGCTCGCCCTTTCAGCCGTGGAGGCGTTATAATGTGACGGTCAATCGCACTATTCGTTGATAAAAGATTAGCCCAAGAGTTGGCTGTAGGTTGTGATTACTAGCTGCCTTCCCTCTAATCTTCCACTGCTAAATTAGGGACGGCTAGCGCAGATAGCCCTCGTGTAGCTTTGCGCGAAATTCAAAACAAACAAACAAACACTTCTCATTTATTAGAACAAAACTTCGTTGCACGAGACTTCAACAAGTTTAGCCCAAAATTGAAGACATTATTTACAGTGAAATAAACTAGTTGATAATCACTAATATGGTTTAGACTAAAGTTTAAATTATTTCCAAAGTAAGAATGTTTATTCACTTAATTCTAGATTATAGGTCGCACACAATCATTTACTCAACGAGAAATTCCTTCAAAGTCTAAAACGAGTTTCATGTTGAAACTGTGCCAAATGTAACCCTGCAATCGTGCACAAAAACTAGTGGGGATCAGTGAATAAATTGCAGTAAAAACTGGATGTAGCAGTAACGACTTCACACGGCCTGTTAAGACTCCTAGTAGACTCCAACACATACTCTAGATTTCTCCTGTCATTCTGACATCTTTATTTTAATCTAACGTAAAACATTTTTAACGCCTTGAGCTAATTGCGAAATAGTTTTATTTTTCAAAAGTTTAATGCAGTTTTAGAAGAAACAGGTAATTCTTATTTTCAGGACCATAAGGTTTAAATAAGAAACTAAAATATGCCATAGAACTAAACATTCATTAAACATAAGAAAAAAGTAAAATTAAATATTTTAACATATGGTTGTTTTTCTTTTTCCACGTTTCACCACTGAGAATTTTAGACTAGCGTGTTTTTTGTTTTGTATCCACACTTCACTATAGCTTATGTTTTCCATTTTATTGGTTAAATATTTCGAAATAAATTTGCATACATCAGTTAGTAACACTATTCAGGTTTGTGTATTGCACATAATGAGTGTATAATGTGTACTTTGTAATGAATGTGTTATTCACTAACATGTGACGTCACATTTATGATGTGAGACAGAATTCATACAAACGTTAATACATATGAAGGAATTAGATGATCTAGCAGGCGTAAAAAGATTGCATAAGTAAAAAAAATCAAAATATAATTTTATGAAAATCGTCTTACAACCTTAATGATCAGATATGTTTTACAGACGTACAATGCTTAGCCGCCGACGAAAAGTTTGAAAATCAATATCATGAGTTTGATTCCTCCCCTTAATGACAAATATATATTTAGATATGATAATCTAAACGTAAGAAACATCACATGTGGTACTATTATATATTATATTTTGTATAAAGAAAGTCACCTATAATAGTCTCATAAATTAGTGATAACTCCCCCTTAATGCTGAATAACTGTTTTCTTTATCAAGTCTCCACTTAAACAATAGACTTACATCAGGATACAATGAGCAAAACAGTGCGGTTCGTTTATCATAAATATACAAGTCAATTTCCTGAATATTTATTACAAGAAACAAACTTTACACACAAATGTTTTTAAGTTGTTACACAAAGAGAATGATTTATTCTTGTTTGCTATAAATAACACATTTGCTTGTTTTTTTCCTGGATGGTTACAGCAGAAAGTAAATCATTAAGGCAGTGAAAAATTGTTTGAAGCCTATTTATTTGTGAGGAATCCACACTCCGAGTGCCGGTAATAAGAAGGTACTATTTTAGGATAATGTCATTACTCTAAAGTGATTTTACCCTTTTTTT